CGTCCACCGGTGATCCTTATTCACATGTACAGATAATCAGGCTTGAACTGGTTTCACATGCTCACATGTAGCGACACGCTAGATTCAGACGCACAACTTTAGGTTTTCACTTCAATACAACACAAATACGAAGGGATTTACTCCCGTCTGCAATACGAAACACAACAGGTGAGATGCTCTTGTTGAATCTTTTTTGGTCCTTTCACAGGATTCCTTGACATTTAAAACAGAATAACACCAGCGCTAAACTAATCCGGCCGATGTGCGACTCCAAGGAGTCTGAATTCAATTTTTGAAGCAATGAGCAGCGGCGTTAAGCGGACACCTCGCAAAAATAATTAGCCTCACGTTAGCCTCAGACTTTAGTAAGCGCTACTTGTGAGCCATTCTGCGCTTCAGGAGGTATCGATTAAGGAATATCAGCCGTTACATACATTTCCGCATAAAAAAAACCCATTTAAAGAATGATTTCCCTGCGTCGTAGTAATGAAAGGTACTTTTCCCCGCGGAGCGTCATGTGTCCCCCGGCCTTCTAGAAAGGAGAGACGCCCCCCCCTCCCCCTCCCTCCTCATTAGCTGACGCCCCGAGGCTCCGGCGCCTCGTGAAGCTTTTGTTGTTGGCTGCCGGGTGCTTGACCCACGCCTCTCGTCCTTTTAGGCCGGGGGGGGGGGGGGATGATCAAAATGCGAATACAGCTCCAACTGAGCAGGTGCCGCCGTGTTGGAAGTCAGCTTCCTGGGTTTGATGTTCGTTACGCAACCGATGGCCCGGGGGGGAGATAACAGGCTCGCTCTCTTTAGCTGACTCGACTCTCGTATCTGCTGAGCCGCTGGAAGGCGCCGCGTCTCATGATCAAAGGGGCTTGACCATCAGCAGAACGGAAACTTCGGCCCGTCTGTTTAAACTCGTACCGACACTTCTGCCAGCGCGGAGGCAGCGAGGCGCTTTGCGTGCCGCTGGTTTTCTTAATTGACTTCAGGTTGACGCCACGTGACACCTGAAGTGCAACGGGTTCCTGCAAACACACGCGTCAGGAAAGGGCCGAAGCCTCTCATCCCGCCGCGTGACGTTAGCCCCTCGCACACCGTGCACGTAGCGTAGCGTTTACCCCCGAGGACGCCCGAGGCGCCAAGCCCGTCCACGGCGACATGTGACCCGTTTTAAAAGAGGACGGCGAACAAACTGGTTTACATCAAAGGCCTGAATGGTGCGACTATCAACTCACTCACACATCGAGCAGGACAGTTAATGGTTTCTACCCCCCCCGCACTCCCCCCCAAGAACTGGAGCTTTCCTGCATCATAACGACAGCTAACGCTAACCAGCTCTACCGCTGATTCACCACACAGATCCGTTTTCACGCCGCTAGTCTCGCTTTTATGCTTAGTTTCGGCATCCACTTGGTACTGAGGTGTCGCTTCGCTCTACTTTTCCCCCTCTTTGGGATTTTAACCGGCATCCTCCTGGTAACGACAGACCAGCGGTCACGTTACCTGTGCCCTCTTTAAATTGTTTGTGCTCAGACCCACCGACAGCAGCAGTAAACTGGAAGGCATTGGCCAGGCGATGATGAGGGCATCTAAAGGGGACAGTGAGGGGGGGGGGAAGACAGTCGGAGGCTCTGAATTAAAACCCGTACATGAGGACTCGCACATTATCATAATATGTAAAGTGAGATCAAGTAGCGGTGCAGCATTTAAAGCCACTTTCTGCCGTAAGTATGGACATTAGCTCGCACAGCGTGGCCCCCCGCCAGCACGCGGTAATAATGATGACAAATAATTCTCTCCGCGGTCGAGCCAAAATCACCCCCCCCCCCGCAGTTTCTAAAATAAGTAACAGACTCAGCTGCTAATCCTTTAAATGTGAGGAAGACGCTTTACACGTATTCATGCATATTAATGCACCGCTGCAACGCGACCCGACAGGGGAGCTTATTAAATTCTGGTTCTTAAAAACCACCGTGACACACGGGTCCAAATCCCCTCCTAACCTTGTTAGCTTGTGTAAATAACAACGGTTGGGGGGGGGGGGGTGGATGAAGATGTGTGTTTTGGCATTTTCACCCGGGACAATCCGTCAAAACACAACTGGGACGAGAGCGCGCATGAAAATCAGCCGGCTGAAGACCGTTAATGAATGTGTGTGAAAATAATACAAATTAGTTTGGAAATGAAAACACAACAGGCAGAAAGACTTGAATTCAAACCGGTTTCCAGCCGACTGTGAAGCTGAGAGGACCTGTACGAGTTTGGGTGTCTGGCGTGAGAGTGAGTACACAATGTCACACAAAGGCAGGGATTCATAAAGTAGAATAAGGCAGTTCATCAATTATGCTAATCTGCAGACAAAATGAAGTGCCGAAGCTTAATTGAGAGTGAGGTTGCCAAATAAAAACACACACACACACACACACACACACACACACACACACACACACATATGTGTAAATCCCCACTAGAATCATTGTTGCTATTTTAATCCACAGAGGCGGCCGTTGTCTTCGGGAGGCTTCATGAACTCTGCTTGAACTTCACGGTTCATCACTGCACCTTTCATTTCTTCATGCTGGCTCCTGTTGGAGTCTCCCAAAGAACCTTTGAAAATGTCAAATCAAGACAAGGCTATGAAATGCAATAATTGTCCCAGTGGCTTGAGAATCATTACCGCCGTTTAACGGTTCATCATTTAGACCCTATAATTGCATTTTGCTCTCATTCCTCCTGTTAGCCACATTGGACATGCGTGTGGAACGGAGGGATTTGTACAACTGCACAATGAAAAGGCTATTAACTATTCGCTGGATTTGAAGGCTCTTACGCCGTAATGAGCCCAATTTGAACAGCAGGAGCAGCGCGTCCGTCCCGTGTAAATGAAAACCGACTGTTCTCAGGACAATGCATCGCTGTATAACGTGACACCTTGTTGAGCATTGAATTAGCTTCTCACCAAGGATCTCAGCATCCCCGCTTCCATCGGGACGTTCAGCAGCACCCGTTTGCTCGTAAGGGATAATCATTTTTTTATTTATTAAGCAAACAAACCAAAAAGTAAAGTTGTAGTGCCGGGGAAGCGAAGGCATCTTTGCCTCGGGGGCCCACTTGAAGGCGGCCTAACGGCGGTTTACATCAAAGCTGATCTAGGAAACCGACGGCCTCTGACAGCTTCCCCGAGCGGCGACCTCTCAGCAGAAAAAAAACGCTGACTTACAGCACGTTTAGCCGTTATTTAGCACGGCCAGTTGACTACGAACACGGGGCTTATTTGCTGCGTTGTGGCCTGAGGGAGGAGCGCACGCTGCAGCTGTACTTACAGAACAAAGAACGGGGACGTGTTCCAGAGGGAACCAGGTGACGCGCTGATGTTCAGAGGACACGCCGCGGTCCCGACTCTCCACTCGGTTTTTGCTTTTATGTGCCAAAAAATGAAGTGCGTTCTTGTGTGCGAAAAGGTCGACCGTGTCCGGCTGTTTTTACAGACATGTCTGCGCATGAAGCAGCGAGGACATATATTTATACATGCATATACATACATACTATCTGTACGGCCCAGGCTGCCACGAGACACGCAGACCATTTGTAATTCATTATGAAAGTACATGTGTAATCTTTACTGTTCTAATGTAAATAAGGTTCAATTTACTTTACGTACAGCCGATTATCACAAATCCCACATTTGGCTGAGAGGGCTTCACAATGCGCACACGCAACACCGTCTGAGAGCAAAAGAAGAGATCCTCTGCACATTATACCCAACTGATGAAAATGAATATGCAGAGAGCATCCGAATAGACGAATAGAGCTTGTTTACCCCAAAAGAAAGTCAGTTTGATAGCGGTTCATTAATTGGCCCCCGGCCTCCAGACATTCTACAGAAGTTGCTCTGGGGACGTTTAAGTAACCCTGGTCTAGTTGTTTTTTATAACATTATAACGAGCGGGACACACACACTCATTTGTGCTCCACAGATACTATAATTGAGTTATCGGTGGTGTTAGAGGCAAAGGGAATTTAATAAGCTTTCCTTGCAATCTGCAGCAGGAAGTTCCACTTTGACTCTTTGACTCTTCATATTGATGACCAGGTCATTAACCTCGGCTTTCTGTGGTCGCAGGCTAACAACAGCTAATTCCCCCTGAAGTATTGACACGTTTTAATTGTGACAAGTCAGAAGGGTTCATCCACTGGGGATCAATAACATTGGTACCAAATATCAGATGGTTGAGACGCTGGTCTGTGGACCAGCAGCAGCATCCAGAGAGACGTGCTGCAGGAACTGCTAGAACATTTATTTTACTGACACAGCGTTTGCTTTCAAAAAGAAAACCCGTTCCAGAAGGCTGTCAAGTCGCACTGATCGTGGATGAACAAGAGCTTCTACTGTTCCCATTCATATAGTTCTCTACTACGTGCTTCCTTTGTGATTTCTAGAGCAAACTAATAGATTTGGTCTCTCAAAATGTACTTTAAGAATAAAAGGAAACTATCATCATTGTGGCAAAGGATGTCGGTGTTGAGCGCTTTTTCTCTGAGCTTTGTTTGGGAAATGGATAAACAGAGCTGAAGGACGTCTGTCAGGATCTACGGAGCAGGCTTTCGTTCCCATGATGCACAGCAAAGACCTACACGATGTCCCTGTGACGGTTATTATAACGATGTCTACCCAACCGGCTTAATAGAGCTCACTCGATCTGCGCTTTCAGCGCCTCTCCAGTTGTGGTCGGCGTGTTAACGCGCAGTCACACAACCTCAGAAGATCAACGAGCTTTAACTTCCCGTCCGTCGGAGGCGAAGATTCGTGAAACCGTTTCTTCTGATCCATTAGACGCCTCATTAGGCACAAACAGCAAACCATAAACATTTATCGCAGTAAACAAGGGCCTTTCTGTAAAGCGGTTCTAGAACGATGTTGTTATGGAAACGGACTCGTTGACACTTCTTGTAAGAGCAGAAAGGTTCTAAAAGCAGCGTCACCCGGCTCGCTGCTGGGACGCCACCTGCAGAGACGTGCAGGGTTCCTGCACGCCGCACATGAAGATAAATCAATCAGGTGTCGCTCACGCACACACACACACACGCACGCACGCACGCACACACACACACACACACACACACACACACACACACACACACACGCACACGCACACACGCACACACGCACACACGCACACACACACGGGTGGAGCGCCCACGTGCGCATCCAGAGACGGGTAGTGCCGGGAAATTGTGGGATGATGATTAGCATGAAGAGTTTCTATTTACAACCTTGTTTTCTAGAAAATATTGTATTCTCACTCAATAATTACGAGCAGATTTTTGTGCACTGTGGTGACCTTGAAGCAGGTTAAAAAAAAAAAAAAAAAACGTACTTCTGGTGTGTAAATATACTCGATACAGAAGACAGAAAACTACATACAGGCTTCCTTTTTCTCGCCCACATGTTCAAGTTCGTCATGCAGAAAGTTCTCATCTCCTCAGTGCTGTAATTATGCTCGTACACAACTAAAGCTGCGTGATGACCCCGCAGAAAGGGGAATTATGGGTAACCGCGGGCACACAAACTCTCACTACGCCCCGAGCACAGCGGCGCTTCAAAAAGGCTGGTTGATTCTTCGAAGAGCAAAGAGTATAAAAGACAGCAAACAGCCCAGAGACGTTTTATTCCATCTTACTCTTCCACGGCAGAGATGTTCAGCGGGAAAACAAGACGCCACCCGAATGACAAGCTCAGTTCCATTCTCGCCGTTTTCAGTTTGTATCCAGTCAGTAAAATGAATGCGATGTTCAAAGGAAGTGCCTCACTGAGGTTAGGATTACTCGTGGATTTGGCTCCGCGGTGTGTCTGGTCTCAGGGGCTTCCTGGTCCTTCGTACGTAGAAGCAGCCGGTGGTTCGCTGCTACTTTGAGACACGTCTTCGCTGCTCTAAGTGGCCGCATGCAACACCTCGTCGTGGTTATTTCTGAGGGGGGGGGGAGGCTTCTGGACACATTTTGTTAGAAGACGACATGAAAAGCACCTTTCTAAATCTCTGCCCACACTCGGCATTCAAAAGACTTTTTCATTTCTTTGTGCAGAGGCTGGCGGAAACAACAGTACACCATCATTACCGGGACACGCGTGGTTTTGTGCTTGTTCTGCTTCCTCTTCCATTTTAACTAAAATACAAATAAATGATCACTGGCAGCATCGCCATGGTGACAGCAGACCTCGACCTGGGTTCTTCAGGACTCGTGGAGGGCGAGCAGGCACGCGGCAGCGTGGCGTGACCCGGGGAAGTTGTCTGATGTGGGTTATATCAGGATGCAAATCCACATAATGATGTTTTCTTCTCCTCACAAAGAGCGGCTCTGTTTTGCTTTGCAAGCGTCTTGAATATTTTAGTGCTGTTCTGATTCGGGGAAAGCCAACAAGATGAATCTCACGGAAGTCTTTTCCCTCCGGTGTGGAGTGTTTTCAATGAATAGGTGAGATGGTAGTTTTGTCACGAGAGGATTCTGAAAGAAAAGCCTAAATCGCACATCGCTCTCCAACAGACGACAAAAAATCTGCCCGGCAGCTACTTTGCAATCAATTATAAACCGTGAACATTGTTTCTCAAACCTGTAAATTGGCAGCTAACACGATGATGTCAAATCTAAGAGCGTAGAGTGTTGAGGGACGCTGCCAGGTGTGAAGTGGGTGTAGGAGCGTAGCTGGGGAAATCTTTACATCAAATTCAGAGATCAGCAGATGGTGGTTTCCATGTTCATTGCAAAAAAAGTCGACATCCCTTGTGCTTCAGCGAGCTCGATGTAGAAGTGGATATTTTGGCGTGTTGATGTACAAATGGAAGGGCGAGACATTGTCCAAAAAGCCCCACAACGGAGACAATTTGGATGTGAGATGAGATGCTTCGGCTCAGTGAACAGACATGGCCTCGTTGTGGAACAACCACACGCACTTACCCAACTAGAGGGGTCAGCTCAGAGGACGAGAACACGGAGCCAACCTTCACTCGACCCGACGGACCAACGAGCTGAATTAGAAATGTTTCGGCTGCTCGGCCCTGCTGGACCACGGGACGTCTAAGCGAGTCTGCTGTTACACAGTGTGACAGCTGGACTGATGCGATCAGACTTGTTTTGATGCAGTAAACCGCGCGCGTCAGAGACCAGAGACCAGGAAATGTTAGAAACAATTTGTCACGACCCAAATATACCTTCTGATTCAGGTTTTTTTTCATTCCACTCCAGTGAACTACTGGGTCACCGTCGCTAATAATGTGGGATGAGACAGACCTCCGTGAGGACACGGCTCCTTCAGCATCAACAGCGTTGTAAAAATAGCATTGATTTCCTCCAAACATTTACACACCATATGTGTGAATAATCTGTGGGACTGCTCCGGGTGATAGTTTGAGATATAGAGGCAATTACACAGTAATAGATTCAATCTCAGGCCAAGACAAACATAATTGGAGGGGGAGCGCTCGCCTACAGGCCAGAATATGGTATATTGTCACTGTGATTATAGGCACTTGGCGCAGCGTGGTGCTGTTAGCAATTTAAAATCAGCACATGAATAGCGGACATTAAATAAAACGCTTTAGATCAAGGCTCTGATTGCACCGACCCGTTTGTGCCAATTTAAAAACACCCAATCCGTTTTCCCGGCCTGGCCGGTCGTTGGTGATATGAAAGAAGAAAAGGGGGAGGAAAAAAAAAAATGAAAAAGCAATCCGCCCGATGCCGTTTGGTCCCAAATGCAAATGTGATAATGTGGATACCCTAAAGAAGATGAGGCACTCAAAGGAAACAGTGAGTACATTTTAAATGGACATGCCAAGCATTTACCCATTTAAAATCACTACTACAAACAAGCATTTTGTATTTTCAACAGAACGCCGAGTGAACAGAGTGCACGTGTAGAATTTATACGACAGGTCAAGCGTGGACGTCCAGGGAAAGCGAGGCGGAGAGGAAACGTAGAGACCCACATTCGAGAACGGGCTGAGGTCAGCGGGGTCGGAGTAATGGGGGCGGGAGGAAGGAGAGAGCACGACGTCCCGCGGGCCCTCGTGACACCCGGGCTTATTGTTTCCTGTGTTCTGTACACTTGTGGATCAGCCGATCAGCCCTTCATCAAGTGGATTGAAAAAAGAAACCTTGAAAACCAGCTGGGCTTCGTTTCACCTGGGCTCCAGGTGGGTTCCCACGCTGTACATTTGTTGCCACCCTGACCCCGGGAGGGTCGATGCCCTGATGACACCGAGCCCACAGCCTCATGCGGTCAGCAGGTTAGATTAGAAGGACAACAGGCGCTCGCGTTAGGAGTTCTGGATCAAAGGTCAGGCATTTGGATACCACTCATTGGACATGGCAGCCGTGTGCAGATCCAGAACAAACCTCAGCAAAAAGGTTTTGGCTGCTCTGCAGGTGAACAACTTAGTTTATATGCAAAGCTGTAGTCTGAGTACACATTTTTAGGGCGAGTAGACATCTGGTGAGAAAGCAGTCCAGCAGCTATGTGAGCTCGCACACATTTGATTGGCCGCTTGCATGTTTCTTTCGACCCAGTGTTGTTTTTCCAGAGCTGTCTAAGTTGGCACGCGGCGCTGACAGACCGCCTCAAGTCAAATGAAGTTGTTGAAGCTGTTGATTTGAAAGTGTTCGAACAGGAATCAGGAATAAGCAACATTTATTGCCAAAGTATGTAAAGCCAATTTGTAGATTTCTAACAGAAGGAAAACTTTTTACAGTTGTGTGGGTGCACAAGGTGACACCCACTCCTCTGAAAACGCTTCCACGCTCCGACTTCGCCGCAGTGGAAAAACCTGCCGCCTTGTGAGGAAGCAGCAGCGTGACAGTCGACGGAGGACCAACACACCTCAGAGACACTTCCAGAGAGGGGACATACGTGAGAGGAAAGAGAACAGATGCCTGTGCGTCGTCCTCGTGTTTGAGGTTCGTCTTTCCTCGCGGCGATGCGCGGTCATTCGGACATGTGCGGTACGCACACGCGCACAGAATAAAGCGTTAGTGCTGTTAGTGTTTACTTTGATTGTCCCGTAATCACCAGCCTTCCAGCGAGGAGCGAGAGGTCTCCCGCCAAGCAGCATCTGCACCTGGTTCCGGACCGATGACGCCAGGGGTGGAGGAGATTCCGGTCCGGAGCAAAGTCTGATATTTAGAGGCTGATGGAAGTCAATGCGCGTAGAGCGGCCATGCAGACGTACGGAGATTTGTTTATGAGATGTATAAAGAACAGCAAGCTCAGGTTGAAGACAGATATGGTGTAAATGTGCCCATCAACCTACTAACACATGAGCATCGCTGCCCGCTAAGGTGCAAAATGCAATGAACAGTTTCAATCAGCACACATTTATGTGAAAATGTAACAGATTATTAGTTTAACATATTAACTGAGTGCCAGTTTATTGTAGAAATGGTGAGAGTGTTACATTACAGGACAGACATTAAAAAAACACAACAAAGAGCAGTTGTTTGGAGAAGACAAGAAACAAAATGATGTGTGATTATATATATATATATACACATACACACACACATATGCACAGTGCTCACGCGCACATATATATATATATATATATATATATATATATATATATATATATATATATATGCAAGAAAGACTAAAATGTGGGTAAGAAAAGACCTGATTATTGAAAATGTTATCGGGAGATTAAACTACACAAAGCAACAGCAACAACTTGATTTACACAAGATTTACACAAACGGTCAGTATTTACATAAAGGCAACAAGCAGTAAATTAGTGGGGTTGATATGATGGGACTCTTATGCCTGGCCATGATTAAGTAGGTGCTGGAAGGAGACGGTGCGTGGACGGTAAAGTGAGAGGAGGGAAGACGGCCTCGGTTGAGCTTTGGAGCTGCATTCCATAAAGAGGGATTAAAAATAAACAATACCCCAAAAAGCAATGGGCTGCGGGTCGTCCAGTGCTATGCCAGTGCAACGCTAACAGCATCACTCCTTGTCATTTGTCATGCAATTATCAATGTAGTTATCAAAGCAGCCCATACCTAGTTAAGCGCTACCATGAAACTGCCAGGCCAGTGCAAATGTGAAGAAGCAGCGCGATTCTTTGGCCAAGTCTGTGGAAAGTTTGTGTAATTGAGTGAGACTCACTGCATAGTGTCCTTCGGAGGGGGCCAAGAGGCGCTGAGGGGGGCTTTAGCCAAGAGATAGAATCAAAGGTAATTGCTGCTGTCGGACAGAAAGATAAAAAGGGGAAAAAAAAGAGTGAGAAAGAACACGAGAATCCAAAGAAGCCGTGAATAAAGTACGGAAAGGTGATCGCTTCACAAGAAATGTTGACATTTTGATGTAGATGTTAGAACGTATTAATGGTCTCACGCTGGCCCTCTCCACCCGTGGGTGGACGCCCGCCGCATTGGTCTACGCCACTCGCCCCACTGCATTGGGTTCCATTCAATAGCTTGCTAAGACGTGGACTCGCAGAGGTCCTTTAGAGAGGACCAATAAAGACGGGGGAGGGAGACTGTTGGAGCTCTGACACACAGGGGAGAGCGTGCACAGGAGGCAGGCTGCTTCCTGGGGGAGTTCCTGCATCCCCCTGGGAGGAGAACCCAGGGCAGGAACCCCCAGGAGAGATTACTCCTTCCATCTGACCTGGGGATGGGCACCAGGGCGGCCTCGCTGAATCCTGCCAGAGCCTCAGGCCGGAGCCAGAGGAGCCGCACAGCCGGTCGGCGAAGGGGCGGCGTCACTAATGTGGGAATTTTGTGCTCAGTGGCACATCTACAGAAACGCTGTGGCACATTCCCATAGCTTCCCGTATTTGGAAGACTAAACGGCGTGTGTTGTGTAATTAGGATCCTTTCAATTTATTGGAAAATTCACTTCAGAATCGGTTTGCGGCCAAAAAGAGTGTGTGTGTGTGTGTGTGTGTGTGCGTGTGTGGCAGTAGATCAGAGGCTTCACATAACCAAGCTACCGTTAAACGTCCAGATAACACAAATCAAAGACTTGTGGCTGTGTTTCAGGTGTTAAAGCCTCGTAATCATTTTGCATGTCACGCACTGAGCCTGCTCCGTGCAACGCGCTCAAAGAGACAACGGGGGCTTTCTGAGCTCGGGGGTTTGCCGCCTTTAGGCCCTCTGAGCGGGAACATTTGCCATGGAAACAGTGATTGGCAAATTTAGAAAGAATGTGGAAAAGTGGCCGGGGGAGCGGGGGCGGGGAGGGGGGGGTGCAGCCCCTTGAACCGCCTACTTCCAGCACTGATTGCACAAAAACGGACTCATGTCCTCCGGAGGTGAAAAGAGGTGTCGAGCTGGCAGGCACATAAAGATCCAACAACGTCTCTGCAGGAAGGACGAGAAAGAAGGACACAGAAATGAAGATATTCAGACGCTCTGTTCACATAAATAATAATGTACAGAAGAGTCTGGTCGTGCTCAGAGATTCCTGCCTGCTGGCGGAGATTGTCAGGTAAATAATATCATAGAGATGAAAGGGGCCCTGAGATAACCCGTCATTTGCTGCGGCATCAACTCAAAGTGACTGATGTCTTGCCCTCGTATTGAACGGCGGTCTTGGCCTTCTTTGGCACCGCGTGTGAGGTCACGCTGCATTTGTTGACAACTCCGCTGCAGTCTACTTGTGCTCGACTTTCTGCAAAGGCGCACACAGGGGAACAGCTCCTCAGGGTCCTTCAGAGAGAACCAGGAGGTTCTGAGCGAGGCGGAGAGTCGAGCTGCTTCACGGGGGGGGCGAGCAAGAGCGAGACAAGGGGGGAGGGATGGTGGGACGGATTCAGCAAAGGGCTGCAAAGCATGTAATTGGCTCGGCTGGACAGAGCGATTAAGACCGAGGGGAGAGGGTTCGAGAGAGCGGGGGAGAGACGGCTCACCTGGCATGGGGAGTTTGTACTGGTACAGAATGATGTCATTAGTGTGTTTCTCTCCCACGTCCCTTTGCACTGCACGCAAAGCCCCCATGCGTCTGCTGGCGTCACACAAGCTTCGGCTAATTCACTTTCACTGGATATCTATCCCGCTCAGGTGGGATAAGAGCAGGGAGGGACTGCTTTCCTTTGAAAAGGAAGAGGCCTTCATCTCGAGGTCTGGGAAGCATGTAATTGCCCCGGCCGGAAAGGAGGAGAAAGACGCGGGGAGAAGACAGGAGAGGACTGGAAGAGGGGAGATGAAGAGAGAAGACATTAAGGAACAAGAGATGGAGTGTATTTACTAAACCTGGAGGATAAAGTGAGTCTGATCGCGGGAGACGAGGGCGATAGAGATACAGATGGAGCGAGAAGACACAAGGAGGAAAGTCAAAGACAACAGGGTCCAGAGGGGAGTGGGAGGGGGGAGGAGGGGGCGACGGGGGGGGGAACAAATGGACTGTAATTGCACACAATCCATCTCCAGAGCTCAATCACTGTGACCTGCGGCGACCATTGGTGAAACACTTCTTCTCCCACTAATCCAATAACCTTCTCCCTCCCCTTCGTTCCCACGGAGACGTTACCTCTCGCCTTCAACACCGGCGGGGGGGGGGGGGGAAGAGACGTTAATGCCGACGTATCCTACGGAATAATTACAGGATAGTCCTTTAATCAAACCCTTTCTTTGTCATCATTGGGCCCTTTTCTCAGTGCTCGGGGAAGTCGTTTTTCAGAATATGGAAATCACCTCCTGCTGCCAATTCCTCCAAACTGATATTTATATTTCTTTGCGTGTCAGGTGACGGCTCTCGTCTTTTTTTCAATTTTATCTTATTTTATTGTTATTGCCTTTTCATTTATTAAAGCTGTATTGTCTGCGCGGGACTTCGGGAACTCCTTAATGTTAGTTTCATTATTTATTGTCTAGCTGCAGATAAAAAAAACAAATTTTAAACTTGAGAATGAGATGACAACCTGTTCGGAAAAAATGTCACTTCCACAGCGACTGCTCGTGTCATCACGGAAAAACTTGCCAATGTTCTTTCCAGACTATTCTCAAACGTTGACATTGTTGAGGGCAGTAAGAAATTCAGGTGTGACAGTGCATTTTAAGCAGGTAGCTTAAAAAATGTACTTTTAAAACTCCATCTATAAATACTAAATGCCATTAATTAGCGAGTTGAATTGCATCGGTTCCTATTGAAGAAAAGTTTTTTGGGAAGCATTTAACTAAGGAGATAGTTTTGAAGTGCACTCACATTCTTTTCTCAAATCATAAAATAATCTCATTAACGTTTGTTCAATATATAGAGCGGAATTGTAGAAAAAATAGTGCTTTAAAAAAAAAAAAAAAAATACAAATGAACTGAAATGTCAGAAAAATCAATTTCATGTTAATATCTTTAGTGTTATATTATCAGCTTCCTGTGTGTGTGTGTGTCTGTCAAGTGGGTGAGGCTTGATATGTGCACGTATCCGTCTGACTGTCACTGACCATGCATGTGGATATGATCCGCATTTTCCCATCCGTCCGTGCGTGCGTGCAAACCCCTTCCTGTGCACGTATGCTGGCATGACGGATGTGCCAGTTTGCTTGACGGCTCGTGGGCACGTCTGGGTTTCATGTGCACGTGTGCGTGCATGTGTGAGACCCAGGCACATGCACGGTACAGCCTCTCTGTTGTTTTGTCTTTGTCCATGTCGTTTCCTGTCGTCCCCCGGGGGGCTGAGGTACCAGGTACCGGGGACTTTAGGTGCAGTGAACCAGCGAGGGCCGCTCATGCGTGCCGACCAAGCAGAAAAACGCATACATTGCGTTCCAATTACAGCCCTACAGCCCTTCTACAGACCTTCCCCCAATCTGTGAAAATCCCTTGATCTGGTTTTCTTTGAGGTGCTGGAAAAATCTCTCCTTTTCTTTTTCAGGACGAAACACGTCTCAGCATCAAATATGCAGTATGAGTGCTTTGCATAGCGAGATTACGTGGTTCTAGTCGGATCCCATTTGTGTGTGTGTGTGTGTGTGTGTATCTATATCTAAATAGATATGTAGATACGCACATTAAAATGTATGAGGCTACTCCAGCACACCTGATCTGACACTGGCACTGACCAGCTGACTCCACGTTTTAATTTGAGGCCGTTCACATCGACA